GGTGATGATGGTGGTGATGATGATGGTGGTGGTGATGACGGTGGTGAGGGTGATGGTGGTGGGGGTGATGGTGGTGGTGATGGTGGTGGTGGTGATGGTGGTGGTGGTGATAATGGTGGTGGTCATGGTGGTGGTGGTGGTCATGGTGGTGGTGGTGGTGGTGATGATGGTGGTGGTGACGATGATAGTGGTGGTGATGATGATGGTGGTGGTGACAATGATAGTGGTGGTGATGATGAGGGTGATGATGATGGTGGTGGTGACAATGATAGTGGTGGTGATGATGGTGGTGGTGATGACGGTGGTGAGGGTGATGGTGGTGGGGGTGATGGTGGTGGTGATGGTGGTGGTGATGGTGGTGATAATGGTGGTGGTGACGACGGTGGTGGTGATGATGGTGGTGAGGATGATGGTGGTGGTGATGATGGTGTTGATGATGATGGTGGTGGTGATGACGGTGGTGAGGGTGATGGTGGTGGTTACCTTCCACCTCCTTGCTCCTAATTAGCATAATTGGAAGGATCAGGCCATTATCAGGAATGATTCCAAACTTCGTCCACCTGGGGGCACCCTCTCTGCTCCCAACCCCAAACCCATGTTTGGTAATGAAAGAGGCGGCCATTAAAACAGAGATGGCTCAGCTAGGCAACTCTTTTCTCATTTTCATCACGCCGAGGAGGCACGATGTGAATAGAGACAGTAAAGGAAGAGAAACCAAATAAAATTGCTTTGTATAAAAAGGGAACCGGAATCAATTCTCGCGCGTGGAATTGCTGGATCGCTGAGGCTGCGGACTCTGAGGATGTTTGCTGGTGTCTTCCCACTGTATCCTCTGCTGCTCCTCGCCTTTTTTCCTGCTCTGTTTCATAGCCTCCTTCTCCCTCTTCCTCTCTCCTCCTCCTCTGCTGGCAGTGGGTGGATGGAGTCTAGGCACAGCCCCCTACACCCCTGCAAACTCCTCCCAGACGGCCGCCCCTCCCCGCTGCCTCACCTGGATCACGGAGTGGATGGAAAAGGGCAGGAAAGCCTGGGCCTTGTTGAGGATGGTGAGGACCGTGAGGGTCACAAAGGCTTTCTCGGCGTCCATGGCATTCTCCTCGGCCACCAGAGCATGGACAGCAAACACAACCAGCGCTACCTGGGTGAGACATGCAGGTGGTGACAATGAGCTGTGAGTGCAGCCAGGGAAGCCTGGGCAAGCTGTGGGTCTCCAGGGGCCCATGTGGGCAAGCCCGCCACGTTGGAATGGGTTCCTCTCCACCCAGATCTCACCCCAATCGTGTTAACCCCCTAGTCCTCATTCCTATGTCATGGAATCTATGGAAGTCTCTCTTAAAATACCCCCATGTGTTGACTAAGGGAGTTCTGTGTGTGGTCCTCGTTCTACGTATCAGAAGCTCTTGGTTCCAGGCATTGGGGGACACTGCAGTTTTCCATCTTGGTAGCATTTCTGTGGTTCTAGACATGGGTGGAACTTGTGATTCTAGAATCCCTTGGAAGCTGACTCTGACGTCGCAGGTATCAGCAACACTTGAGGGCTCTGGGTATCAGTGGCATTTGTGGTTCTAGATGTCCCTAGAAGGTGGTTCTAGGTGTTGGTGATGTTCTGCTTCTAGGTGTCACTTGGTGATGGGATGATGGTCACTTGGTGTCATGGTCACTCTATGTGACGGTCACTCGGTGTGATGGCGACCCAGTGATCCTATTCAGGGAGCCCTCATGGTTCTCAGTGATGGTACTTGTGGTTCTGAGTGTTGAGTTGGTGACACCAGATGGCCCATGGGGTTCTAAATCCTTCTGGAAACAGTGGTTTAAGGCCCAGTTGTCACCAGCCTTGAATGTTTTATGAAGAGTTGGGATTTTGTTCTGTGAGCAGCGGGGGGTCATTGTAGCTTTATTTGCAACAGTGTGACTGAAGTCAAAGCTGTGCTTTGGGAAGGCTGATCCCGCAGCAATTTGTAAATTACATCTCTGGAGGGCTCTACCTACCTCATTCCCCCCCAGTCCTCCCGCCCCCAGTCTGTGCTCTGCAGGGAGACCCAAGTGACGTCACCAGAAACGTGGAGACTTGGAAGGACACCAGAGACACGGAGAAGAGGAGGCTGGAGGTCCTCAAGGCGCCTAGCTCCCGGCCCCTGATGCGCAGGACTCTCTCCAGAAAGGCCCCCTCCCAGCCGTGAGCCTTGACCATCTTCACGTTCCTGAGGAGGTAGCTGGTGAGCCGCGCCCGAGAGTCCTTCTGCCTCATTTGCTCTTCCTGGGACCGGAGGGCGGGAGAGAGGAGAGGACAGGGACACGTCTCGGATTCTCCTGCCCTGCAGCCGCCATACCCCCCACCAGCAAATCCTGTTGATTCCGTATCCAAACCAGGCCCCTTGCTGTCTGCCTCCCAGCATCTCTGTCCCCAGAGTCCTGGCCCAAGCCACCGCCATCCTGTGCCTGGACCACTGCAGGGGCCTCCGTCCTGGCCCCCTGCTTCTGCCCTCATCGCGGGTGGCGGAGGGTGCGTCATAACGGAGGGAAGCCCCCAGAGCCCAGGGAAGAGGTGAGTCCCTGAACCAGCCTAGGGGTGGTGCCATCAGGAGGGCTTCCTGGAGGTGGAGGTGACACCTGAGCTACATCTTAAATGATGAGGAGGGGCTGGATTTGCAGAGAATGGGTGGATGGAGGTGGGCGGGGAAGATGGAGGGGCCCCACGACTCGGAGGACATCCAGTGCGACAGAGGAGGGTGTGCGCTGGGCTAAGGGGGGGAGATGGGCTGGCTCACTTTGAACATCAGCAGAGGAGTTTGGGGGCTCCGTGTGTCACCACGAGGGGCATTGTCAGAGGGGCCACTGTGTGGAGAATGGCTTAGAGGAGGCCAGACAGGAGGCTGGAGAAACACGCTACGTGGGAACCACCTTCCTCCCTTCTGCCTTCCTTTCCTCCTCAGTTCATAAGTATTTATCGAGCACCTCCTGTGCGCCAAGCGCTATTCTAAAAGGTGAGGCTGCATCAGTGAGCGTCCTCTGCCGCGGGGAATGGCGGCGCCTCTCTCATTTCCGTCTAATGAGAGAGACAACAAATGAAGGGGCAGGGCATCCTGTGCTATGGAACAAAACCTCGTGGGCAGAGGAGATGAGCTGCAGGAGGTGAGGGAGGGCGTGTTTGCTGTGCCCAGGGGGCGGGTGGGGGGCTGCCCAGACTTGGGGAGGAGAGGGAGGGAGCCGGGGGTGTCCGGGGTGAGGGCGTTGCAGGCAGAGGAAACTGCGAGAGCCAAGGCTTCCCCAGCGTGAGGCCACTGCAAGGTCCTGGCTTCAACTGAGGGAAATGGGAACCACGGAGGTTCTGGGCAGAGAGGGAGGCGGCCCGTTTGGTTTTCACAGGTGCGCTGGCTGATGGGTGAGGGGGCTGGGGCTGGGGCCGGGGCCAGGGCAGAAGCAGGACCCAGCGAGGGGGTCGCCGCAGCCATCCCGGTGAGAGACGGTGGGGCTTGGAGTGTGGAGGGGCAACCTGCTGGAAGCATCTTGAAAGTGATGCCAACCAAATTTGCTGAGGGATGGGGTGTGAGAACGACAAGTGACAATGCTGACCCACGTGTGGTTTGTGGCCTGAACGCAGGAGGGATGGAGCTGCCATCCACCGAGATGGGGGGACGTGGGGGGCACAGGTCTGCGTGATGGGAAAGGCTCACACCACTGCTGGCCAGGCCCGCCCCCCCCCCACCTCCCTGCACGAGTGCCAGGCCCAGGACCTGCAGGCTCCCCGCCCCACTTCCCCCCTGGCCTGTCCCCTCTCCCAAACGTCAGACCTGATGGTGGTTCCTCTTCTTGGTGATGAAGAAGTTCAGAGGGAGGAGGCTCAGGAAGACAGCAACGCTGGTGAGGGCAGAGGGTCCTAGAAGCTGCACACAGAGGGGCAGGATGTCACGAGACACCTCCAGGAGCCCAGCTGTAGACCCTGAGAGATTTGGTCAGTACTAGGGAGAGGGGGTCAGACTTGGGTCCTAAGGGGGGCTGTCAGGGGGACTGATGAGGGCACCCACGGGGTCACGGAGACCAGGACTCACGGGGCTCCATGGAAGGAGACACCTGCTGTAGATGGATCAGGGAGGGGAATGACGCACCTCACACATTGGTGGTGGTGGGGTCGATATTAACACAGGTCATGCATCTAGACGCGGGGCCAGGGGACGTGCCTGGCCAGAATGGGGAAGCCAGACATCTCGACTCAGGATCCCGGTTCAAATCCTGGCCCTGATACTTACTAGTGTGGCCTTGAGCAAGTTACTTAACCTCCCTGGGCTGCAGTTCCCTTATCTGTTAAGTAGAAATAGAGCTGGTCCCGGGGCCTAGTTAGTGCTGCTGTCATAGAGTCAATGAGTACCCCAGTCTTCACCTCACCCCACAAGGGCTGCCAGATTTAGCAGATAAACATAGGATGCCCGCCCAATTAAATTTGGATTTCAGGTAAGTTTTTAGTGTGTGTCCCATGCAATATTCCATTTATCTAAAATTCACATTTAACTGGAATCCTGTGTTTTGTCTGGCAGCCCACCCCTCACTCCCCGCCCGGCTTTGTGACTTTGGGACATTTACGTTCCTTCTTGGCTCTGGTTTCTCTCTCTGGAAAATATGCAGGTGAGGGGCAGAATAAACGATTTTTAAGTGGCTGTGACTTTATGAGATTCCTCCCAAGGTTATTTGGGACCATTCTCTAGACCAGCCCCACCCGTCCCTCCAGGCTGCGGGCCTCAGTTTCCCCTCTCAGCCCTTGAGAACACTGTTTTTTTAAATCTCCTTGGTAACCCAGCAAGCCAGTGTGTTTCATTTACACAGCAAGGGCGCCACCCAGTGGCTAAATGGAGAAGTGCCCGGAAGGCAAACACGAGCCCGTCCCGGCCAGAGTTGGGAAAATACTGGAAGAAATGTGAACAGAGGTTAAACTCTCTCTGCAAAAGTGGTGTTATTTGGCAAAAATGCTACAGACGCTAACTGTAGCAACCCCAATGCCCCCCTCTCCTTAACCAGGATCTCAGGGTGACTCTCTGATCTTGGCAACCGTCTGTCAAGAGGCGGGGAAATTGATGGGTGTGTCGTCTGCAGATTCGCTCTGGTCATGAGCCTGCTGGCTCAATGCCCTGAATTTTCCCACGCATCCTCCCTCCCTCCCCCTGTCCCTAATACTAACAGCTAAGGTTTAGGGACCACAGTCAGGAACTGTGTGAAGTGCCTTACCTGTACTTGCTGAGCACCTACTGTATGCTCGGCCTTGGAATACAAGGTCTCGAGTCAGAAAGGGTCCTGGCCCTCTGTCCTACAGGGTGGGTGGGGGCAGCAGAGGAGCAATAATTATGATAACGCGCACCAGGTGGCCTTTTAGAGTACGCCACACTGACAATCAATAAGCCACAGACACACCCCCCCCCCGGGGCCTGTGAACTGTGGCGCATGGTCAGATCCCTTCCCCCGTGGTTGCACAGCTGGCGAGCTGTACAAAAATTGCTGATGGTTTTTACATTTGTAAATGGTTGAAGAAAATAAAAAGAAGACTATCTCGTGACACGTGAAAATTATGTAAAATTCAGATTTCAATGCCCATAACCAGTTTTATTGGGACACAACCACGCCTCTGGGATCCATATTGTCTGTGGCCACTTTTGCACTAGAAGAGCAAAGTTGAATAGTTTTGAGAGAGATCGTATGGCTTCCAACATCTACGATAGTTATGATCTGGTCCTTTACAGAAAAGTTCCTGAGCCTGGCATTCACCTCGGGGGAGCAGAGCAGGAGTAAGATCTTCGGTGGACTGCCCCACCCCCATGCGTAATTAGCAATACTCGGAAATACCTACAAAGTACGGCTGGGTGCAACACCCTGATCTCAGTACTTTACAGGTATCAGCCCATTTAACACATCAACGAGGGCAGGGACACTATTGTTAATTACGATGGGCAAATAAGCCAAGGAGAGGCTAAGGTACTTGTGCTAGGTTTTACAACTTGCAGGTGATGGTGAAAGCAAGATCTGAACCCAGGCAGTCCCACGGCAAAGTCTGTGATTTTTTTTTTCTTTTTGTGAGGAAGATCGGCCCTGAGCTAACATCTGCCAATCCTCCTCTTTTTGCTGAGGGAGACTGGCCCTGGGCTAACATCTGTGCCCATCTTCCTCCACTTTATGTGGGCCACCGCCACAGCATGGCCTGATGAGCCGTGCGTCGGTGCGCACCCGGGATCTGAAGCCCGGGCCACCGAAGTGGAGCACGCGCACTTAACTGCTACGCCACGGGGCCGGCCCCCTGTGATTTTAATAAAACAAAAAAAGGAAATCCTCCACCACAAAGTAGATGGAAGGAAGTCAGAAAAAGCTCTGATTTTCTTTGCCACGTGGCCACTTCTAGGTAGCAAATTCTTTCCCCTAAAGTTTTCTCCTTCTGTCTTTTTTGTTGACGGCGCCGATGTCCCTGAGTTACTGGTAACTTCAGAACACGGTTACTCTGCCTGCTTGGTACCCTGATATCACACCCAAGAAGTGTCATCCTCATCCCCATCATCAATTTGCAGACGAGGAAACTGAGGCCCAAGGAGGGTTTGCATCCTGCCCAGGGTCAAGTGAAGGTCATCCTTGTCTAAGACTCTGCCCATTCTATCAGCCCACAGTGCCGTGATGGAGACGAGATTAAGGAAGGGGGAGGGCGGGGAGGAAGAGGGGGACTCAGCTCAAATCTGCCTCCCTCTGCCCCAGCCCACCTGCCAGAGGTAGACAAAGCAGACCACGATCCAGACGAGCGGCAGCCACAGCCCGTTGAGGTAGGTGACACTCTCGGTTAGCCGCTGCACGTCCACGGACACCAGGTTGACCACGTCCCCCGCCGCACTGGCCTTTCTGGAGCCGCTGGACAGAGCCAGGACCTGGGCGGGGCAGGAGGATCGAGACCTGAGTTGGAGGGAAGGAGGGGGCGAGGGGCAGGGAGGGAGGCCCATGGCGTGGACTGAGCAAGAGCACAGCAACTCAGCAGGCCTGGGTCTAAGCTGGGCTGCCCTTGCTGGTAGAGGCAGGTCTCTTTACCACCCGAGCCTCAGTCCACTCCTCTGTAAAGTGGGCTAGTCAAATCTAAAGCCAACCTCCCAGGGCCGTTGTGAGAACCACGGAGACGAAAGAACCATAAATACTCTGAAACCCCTAAAGCACTGGGGCGATAATAGTTATTAACATAAAACGTGAAAACCTCGGATTCATGACAATAATGGGGGTCCTTTGCTGAGTGCTAACCGGGTCCCAGCCACTGTGCTAAATGAACAGTCTCCTGGTTCTCTGTGATGGGGCACATCGCACAACCGGAGGGGGCAGGCACCGCCATAGTTCACGCGACCTAAAATGCCATGGAGAAAACGCTCTCTGTTGTTGTACGACTAAGGAAAAAAATCAATGCCGATTAAGACACAAAAGATGCATCTTGATCTCAGAAGCGTTAAAAAGCGAGCAAGAAAAGTGAGACTAGCATCAATGAAATGCAGAATTACTAACCCCATTTTACCGCTCAGGAAACTGAGGCACAGAGAAATTGACCGACTTGCCCAAAGTCAGAGGGCTTGCAAGTGGCTAGACCAGGATCGGAATCTGGGATGGCTAAGGCATGACGGGCTAGACGGGGTGTTAGATTGAGCCCCGTGGACATTTAATGTGCCTCTCAGACACCACCCTGGTTCTCTGGCAGGACCAAACCTGCCCTAACTCTGGGGTCACAGTAGACCCCTTACAGCCTTTTGAATGCTAAATTCTACTTGTAATCCTCTCTCTGCTGAGCATGCGGGGAAGGAGCGAGGGGGTGAAGGAGTGAGCCAGGAATGACTGAGTGTAGAAATTCTCCAAAAAATCTTCAGATTTTTATGGAGCACCAAGTCTGCGCCTCACACTGAGCCGAGTACCGAGAACACGGCTGTGAACAAAAGGCAGGGGGCCTGCTCTCCTGGGAGTGAAGTTTGAGCTGGGGAACAAAGTTAAGTACAGACTCACATAGTTCATTCTTTAATGGCAATTATGATGAGCGCCACGAAGGGTTTGAAAATGTAGGTTTTATTATTATTCAGGTATGGCAAGGCCAGCAGGTCAGGAGACAACTGTCATTGACAGGATGGTTTATTATACCCAGATCTCAAGAGGAGGGGCACTGCATACCATGGGGGGCCACGTGGAGATGCCCCAGGGTCCGTCAGAGGCAGGGGGGAGGGGATGGTGGGCAAGAGCCTGTACTGTGGTTTTTCTGTTCCAAGACTTTCAGCAGGCTCTGGGGCCCAGGAGCTGGGTCTAGTGGTCTGGCGCGTGCCCTGGGGTGATCAGGGCAGGGGATTGTGCCCGAGTGTGGACCCATAAAGGAGGCGGTTGGGAGTGGGCTCTGGATGGGTGGGTTCGCATATGAAAGGCGTGCTCTCAGGGGAGTCCTTTACTATCTCTAGGGACTGGCCAGCCCTGGGAGGGGCAGTCCCTCCAGGGTTGGCAAGACCCCAGGTGTCAAAGCACCAGATACAGAAAATAAGAGGCGGTTAATGTAGAAGCAGCCCGGAGGGTGGATCTGACCTCATCAGAAGACGAAGGAGGCTTCCCTAAGGGTGGGGAGTGGACGAGCAGAGCCCTCAGGCCGTCTTCCCGTCAGCCTCAGCTCAAGATTTGGACTCACGAGACTGGACAGGCCACACCTAGCTGCAGCGTGCTCCTCGGGGGACACAGCAGGCAGGGCAGTCCCGGGAGCCGCCCATGTGGCCATGCAGGAGCTGTTTCCTTCGCCGCCCTCGGGACTGGACGGCCCTGGCTCAGATGCGCCAGACCCCACAGGAGCCAACGTCCCTTACAGCAGCAGTCTCATGGGGTTGCTTCCGGGGTCCCCCGAGGGGACAAGAGTCCCTGCACAGAGGGAAGCCCAAAGCTCTGGCTTCCCACTAGGTGTTCATAGTTCACTAACAGAACTTCCAGCCCAGATGCAATCTACCAGTGGGTCAGGGGTCATTTTTAATGTAAGCAGTGTTGCCTGGCAACATAGCTGACAGTCCTCCTTTATCTGATTTCCGCACAGCCTGAAGGTTCACCCTTTATCTTCATGGGGCATGAGTGGAAGGCAACGACATGAAGAGGAGTGGAAAGGATGTCCTGGCAATGGGAACAGCAAGTGCAAAGGCCCTGAGGTGGGAGGCTGCCTGGCATGTCTGTGGCTGGAGAGGGGTGAGCAAGAGAGAAGGTGTGTGATATATAAGGTCAGAAAGGTCCCAGGGTCAGATCACGCAAGGCCTTATGGAAATAATCTAGGAGGTGAAAGTGTAGCGCAAGCGACTAAAGTAATGAATAAGTGCGTTTTCAGGCACAGATGATATTAACAGGTCAGTGATGTTATCCTTCCCGGCTGGAACATCTGTATGTAAATCAGGGCAGGATGGAGAGAAGAGAGAGGCCCACGCCTCTCCCCTAGGGCTCACCTTTCTGTACACCAGGCCAGTGATGGCCGTTCGCAGCCTCATCTGCAGTAGCTTGAGTCTGTACATGTACTGCTGCTCAAACAGCGTTTGCAGGCAGGCGGAGAGGAACATCAGCACGGCGAGGAGACAGCCCCTCCAGGTTGGGGCCTCAGGGTCGCCAATAAATTCCAGAAAAAGGCTTGTGGGAGAGGGAGGGAGAAGGTACAGCTGGTGAGAGAAGGCACTCAGGGCTTTGTCTTGGGCTTGTGCCCCAGCCCGGCCGGGTCTGGAGGATCAGACATTGCGGTAGATTTTTTTTTTTTTCCCCCAAATCGGCTGCAATGATTCTCCCTGCTCATTGTCAATGTGACTTGTGGCTCCTCCAGCCAAGAGGTGGAGTTTTTATCCCCACCCTTTCTGGGCTGAATTGTGTCCCCTCAAAATTTACATGTTGAAGTCCTAACCCCTAGGACCTCAGACTGTATTGGAGGTGGGGCCTTCAAAGAGGTGATTAAGGTAAAAGAGGGCTGTTAGGATGGGCCCTGATGCAATCTGACTGTGAGGAAATTTGGACACAGAAGGTGGCACCAGGGGTGCGTGTGCACAGAGGAAAGACCACGTGGGGACACAGCGAACCAAGGAGAGGCCTCAGAGGAGGCCAACCTCGATCTTGGTCTTCCAGCCTCCAGAACCGTGGGAAAGTAAATTTCTGCCGTTTAAGCCCCCCGTCTGTACTCCTTCGTTACAGCAGCCCTCGCAAACGAACACACCACCCCTCGCATCTGGGCGTGGAGGAACCAGCTTTGACCAACAGAATACAGTGGAGGTGAAACCGTGCCAGCTCCGAGCCCAGGCCTCAAGAGAAAATGCAGCTTTTGCTCTGTCTCAGAGCCCTGCCACGCGGCCACAAGAACAAGCCAGAGCTAACCTTCTGGAGGATGAGAGACCGTGTGGAGCAGAGACAGGCCGTCCCAGCTGAGACCGTCTCAGACCAGCCAGTGCCCAGCCAGCTCTGCAGCCGACCTCAGACGCACGAGCAAGTCCAGCCAAGAGGAGAACCGCCCAGCTGAGCCCAGCCCAAACTGCCGACCCACAACATTGTCAGCAGATATGTGGTTTTAAGCCCTTTACTTTTGGGGTGTTTTGTTACACAGCAAAAGCTAACTGATACAGTCCGGATAGAGTTCACGTGTTTTCCCTCCCTGAGGTCAGTCGCTTTCTCACTTATTTTTATCCTTCCTCAGTCTCCTTTTCACCCATCGCCCAGTGCCCTGAGCACCACAGGTCCAGGCAGAGGCAGAAGCAGAGCTGAAGCCCCCCTGGCCCTGGAAGGACACGGTGAAGGGACCACCAGCCTTAGCAAGGCACCCGAGCAGGACCCACCTGAGGAGCTTGGGAACAGCGAACCTGAAGACGTCACTGATGAGGAGGCTGAGGGTCCCCAGGAGGAAGGTGGAACGGAACACCTGCCAGATGGCCCTCAGCAGCGGGCCCCTCTGGCTCCCCCCTCGCTGCAGGAGGGGCTCGGTCTCAGGGGCCTCCAGGCCATGGCTGCCTTTCCTTTCCAATGCCGTCGCCTTGGTGTGCCTTGGGGGAGAGGAGAAACTTGCTCTGGGTCCTTGCAATAGACGGAGTGTGTCTCCCCCCAGATTCGTGGTGCAACGAATCCCCAGTATGATGATCTTAGGAGGTGGGGGCTTTGGGAGGTGATGAGGTCACGAGGGTGGAGCCCCATGAAGGGGATTAGCGCCTTTATCAAAGCGACCCCAGACAGCTCCTTCCTTCTTCCACCACATGAGGCACAGTGAGAACACAGCCCTCGCCAGCCACCGAATCTGCTGGCGTCTTGATCCTGGACTTCCAGCCTCTGGAACTGCGAGCAATACATCTCTGCTGTTTATGAGCCCCCCGTCTGTGCTATTTTGTGTAGCAGCTGAACGGACGAAGACATCCTTTACCACATTCTCAGAGGTGGCCGCGGAGCCGCCAGCATCAGGACCAGGCATTCCAGGGTTATTTTCCCAACAGTGGGGATGGGTGGGCGTGGACCCAGCCTCGCTCCCCCCGCTGTTCTTCCTTGTCCCCCAGAGGACCCGCTTATGAGACAATCAGCCAGGGTAGGGGTGTGGCGGGGCAGGAGGGCAGCCCTAAGGCCTCAGGGACGGCCATGGCAATGCACATGCATTGAGCGCCTGCTGTGTGCCAGGTCCTCTTTAGTCCTAACAGCCCAGCAAGCCGAGTGTTATTCCCATTTCACAGATGAGGAAACTAAGGCTCAGAGAGGTGCCTTGTCCAAAGGCACACAGCTGAGAAGTAAAAGAGCTGGGATTTGATCCCGACTCTCTGCCTTCAGAGCCCGAGCCCTTTCTGATCCATTCTGCAGCTCCCCTCCTTCACTTCCACAACCGGCCAGCCCTCGGGTGGTTCTGAACCGGTTTAGAACCGGTTTAGAATCACAGCTGATGTCCGTGGGCCTGGCACTTCTGGTCTAGATGAAACCACAGGTGGAAGCTCAGGCAGGCTTGATGCAGAACATCTCTGGCCTTGTCCTAGCCGGGGGACACAGGGAGAGCTGGGGGGAGGCGGGGGGAGCCCGGGGCCCCGCCTGAGGCAGGCTGGTCCTCGGCCACAGGGAGAGACCGGCAGTGAGGCAGCTGCTGACAGCCCGGCTGCTGTGTGGCCTTGGGCAGACTGTTCCTCTCTCTGGTCTGTGCCTCTGTGGGGCTGAAAGGACGGGGCTGGTCCCACCCTCTGAGTCCCTGCCCGCTCTGACAGCCTATGAGGTTATCAGCAATTTCACTGCCCGTTTCCAGAGCTGGGATGGGGGGCCTGGTACTGGGACCAGCCTTTTCCACGCACGAGCGGATGGACTCCTCTTCGCCTCCCTGCCTGGTAGGTATCACGGGCTCCCCATTTTACCTAGGGGTCGACTGAAGCTCCGAGAGGTGGGGACAGCTACCCGAGGTCACGCAGCGAGGACAGAGCCTGGATTCCAGCCCAGATTTCCATTCATGGTTCACATAGTGCCTGTCTGTGAGCCCCACTCCCCACCAAAAATTAAAAAAGAACCTTGGCGAGCGCAGGTGGCCAGACGCCCCCTGACAAGGTCAAGGCCTTGCCCTTCATCCCTGGCCGGGCGTGTTGTTTGGTTTGGCGTCTCTGGAGGGTTGTGGCTTGGCCTCCATCACTGAGCTGGGCATGGCCCGTCGCTCACAAACATTTTGGTGTTTGGGTCCAAATGCCAAAAGGATGTCACCTCCTCGCAGAGGCCGCCCCTGACGCCCCAGCCCCCATCAGATCCCATTGTTTAAGTCACAGCCGTGCTCACCCTCCTCAACTCTCTCCTTTACTTCTCTGTCTTGTTAGAACTCCAGGTGGGTAGGCATTTTGCTCATATTTTCCCCAGCACCTAGGTCAGCTCCTGAGGTAGTAGGCACTCAGCAAATACAGATTGTTTGCCGTGTGCAAAGGCCCTAATAGGAGTGCCAGATGCATAATGTTACAAAGATTTGTGGAAGGAAGGAAGCAGGCAGCTTGGTTTGTGCACAGAACCTGGCATGGGAGCCAGGAGAGTGAGGTTCAAATGCCTGCTCTGTCCCCTCCCCTTGGAACCTCAGTGTTTCCATGTGTAAAATGGGTGGGTGCAGAGGTGACTGTGAAGGCCTCTTTCCAGCTGGATGGTTTGCTCAGTTCTACTCGGGCTGCTCGGAAAGCCCCTTAGTGCAGGACTTGCAAAATGACCACAGGGCCAGACAGGGGGTGTGAGTGAGTGGCCGGGCGTAAGTTGCGGGGTACAAAAGGGAGTCGTGGAGACTGGAGCAAACTGAGGAGCACACGCCCTTTTCCATGGGGCAGCCACGACTCAGATCCACTCTCCTGTTGCCACGCAGGGATGTAACCCAGCACTACCAGTCTCCTTTAAGAGAGACCAGAATTCCAGATTTTTATGTGACATCTCTAAGATTTTACATGTTGGCAACCTATTAAAAAAACAAAACAAAAAAGCCCCAAACAACAAGAACAACAAAAAACCATGTGGGCCAAACATATCTTGTGAACCTGACTTGGTCAGGGGGTGGCTGGTCTGTGACCTATCAGGATGACACCCTCTCCCTTCCCCCAAAAGTTGCAAAATATTTCAGAAATGATGCCAAAGTTCTCTCGGTGTGTAATCAGTTGGCTCAGACAGTGAGTGAGCCAGATCTCAACATAACATGCCTTTCTCCTTTCTTTCTGTCCATAGTCTACAGAGCCCCAAACTGTTCTGGAGAATGTTTCTATCCCCTAGCTCCCATACTGGGTGATGGTCATTCTCATGCCGGTGGGGAGGCCAGAGCTGGGAGAGAGTGGGCAAGACCTCTGGGCCCTTTTGAATGAACTGTGCCACAGAGAAATCATCTAACAGTGGAGAGGCAGTACAGCAAGATACGCCTGGGGTGACAGAGAGCTGCTGTTTTGATTTATTCACATTACTCAGCCCTTTTGGAAAACACACCCCCTTCCTTTGGGGAGCACCAATCAGGGATCCTGCCCCTTGGCCATGGGATTGGCTCCTGAGAGGCACATGACTCGAATCAGCCAATCAGAGGCCTTACTTGGGATTTTCTATATGGATGCTAGAGGAGACAGGCTCTCTCACTGTGCTGGAGTTGCTGAACTGGCATGGTATGGGACAGGCCAATACATGGTTATCCGCTGAGCTGAGAGATGGAGGGAAAGGATTTGGACATCGTGCAGGTTCCTGGATCCAGCCACACCTGAGGCTAGACCCACCTTCTCAGCTATGTGGGCCAGTAGACTCTGTCTCTGCCTATTCCTCTCTCTCTTCTTCTAATTTGTGGGATTCAGCCATCTACAACCACCACCACAAAATCCTCGACTATGCAGAGAACCTTGTAATTCTTCCCACAGAGCTGAGTTACTTTTGTCTGTCCCCTGAAACACCAAGGTCTGGTGAGGTCAAGAACTCGTCCAAGGTCACCAACTACTCCATGGCAGGGCTGCATTGAACCCAGGTTTAATTAATCCTATGTTGACAGCTCATTTCTCTACACCAGAGGTTCCCAAAGCGGGCTCCTCAGACTCAGAGGGCTCCACGGAAGCTTCCAGAGATGCCACAGAGGACAAGAGTGAGGCAGAGTGAACAAGACTAAAAAGAACTTGAAATCCTTTGATAACTGATATTGCTCGAGCTTTTACCATTTTTGAGGAATTTGCTAAGTTCTTTCTCCCACAAGCTGGGAGCTAGGGGCTAATGGCATCCCCATTGGACAGATAAGAAAACTGAGGCCCAGGAAGCTAATCACTCGGGTTAAGTACTAAGTGAGTAGTTGTCTGCATGTTACGGACCACACGCAGCTCTCCACCCCCAGGATGTCGCCCCCTGCCACTCCGCCACTCGAGCGTCCTTCTGAGGGCCTCGAGGAGCTCCCACTTTGTCCCTTTGGATCCTGCAGAGCACGCTGGGAGCCAAGGCACCTTGAGCCTGACCAGTTAAGGCTTAGAGATCAGCTGGCGGGCAGGGGCTGTGGGGGTGGAGCCCAGAGCAGGGTCTGGGCTTGTATTTGGGGGCAAATGATGAGCGTTGCAGACGGAGCATCGGGCCGAGCTCCCGCCCTCCACACACTCACCGCCGGGCCGCGCCGCGGTTCCTCGTCCATGCTCTTTCAAGCTGGGAAACGAGTTCTTCTGAGGAGTTTTCTCTCCCAAGCGACCAGAGGTCTTTTAATCCCAGCGGCTGCTTGTAGCCCCTCCAGACCAGCCTGTAAAAGAGTGTTACCAGGCAACCTCCTCCAGCCATCCACCCCTGCAGGGTCCTGGCCTGGTAGCTGTGTGACCCTGGGTAAGTCACTCTATCTCTCTGCGCCTCTGCTGGCCCCTTGGGAAAATGAAAGCAATTAACCTACTGCACCTAACATTTGGGGGGCACTTTTCAGTTTACAAAGATCATCTCATTTAATTCTCACATGAGCCTGTAGATTACTACTGACCCACTTTACAGATGAGGAAGAAAACAGAGGCTCAGAGAGATTAGGTGACCTAACTAAGGGATGACCTGTGTGGCAGGGGAAATAAACCTCCCTATGAGTCCGAGTCCAGAGTTGAAAGCTCTCACTGTGGAGGAAACCTGAATTCTTCCCTCAGCTTTAAATGTCCCCACTCTCCTCTTCATTCACTGCTCCAGCCACCTGGCCTCAGGACCTTTGCATGTGCTTGTTGTTCTGCTGAAAACTCTCTTCCTGCCTGTCCTGACCCAGCCCCTTCTTACTCATCCTTCACCCCTGAGCTTAGACATGATTCCCTTAGAAGCCCACTTTGATGAACCCCCCAGTCCATGTATATTCCCCCATTATAAGCTCCTGTAGTTTCCTGAGTTTTTTCTTTATAATGCTTTGAAATTATGATTATTTACTTTTTTGGTCTGGTTATTTATTTACTGTCTTTCTCCTCCATTGAATGGTAACTCACAGAGGGGCAAAGGCCTTTATTCTCCCTCTTCTGTATCTTCGCCTCCTGGCACAGGGAACAAGAAAAGTTGTCAAATGAAGCCACTTATCAGCTCTGTGACCCTGGGCAAGTCACTTCTCATCAATGGATCTCAAGTTTCTCACCTTAAAATGAGAGTGTTTCCCAACATGTGTGACTGGCGTATGAAATACACAAGAAATTAATCTCTATAGATCTCCATCACGGGAGCATCACCATCTTTTTGGGTCTCTGGAATCTTCCTAATGACCCCAGGGAGGAGGTCCTGTGTGGAGCCGGTCTTGAGCGCCTCTCTGAGACTCTCCAAGTGCCCTTCCTAACACAGAGCAACAGTTCTGATCTAGAAATTATTAACATCGCTTGGTTCTCACTGAAATTACTTTTGGAGTCCTACATGGCAAGTGAGTCTATAGATGTTTCCGACTGGGGCAGTGACGGAAAGTTTCCTTTATAAAAAAGTTTATTAAAGTACAAAAAGTGAGTTGATTTAAAGAAAAAATATTAAGTAAACAGAATACAAGGGATGCCCCAATAAAGCAAAAAGCTTGAAGAATGGTCCATAAATGCCTCCGTTTGGGAAACGCAGGGCTGAATCCTCTCTGGAGCTGTTTAGCAAACATCTACGCTCTTTCCAATTCCACCCCTCAGAGCATCCTGGTCTTCATTTATTTAACAACCACTTTCTATGACACTCATTATGGGCCAAGCTCTGCCCTAAGACCTTCACAAGCCTTATCTCATTTAATCCTCACAACCTTATGAGGTGGGTGCTGTTATTATCCTCATTTTACTGGTGCAGAGTCTGAGGCACAGAGAGGTTAAGTAGCTTGCCCAAGGTCACACAGCCAGGAAGTGATGGGACTAGGATTCAAATCCAGTGCTCCCGAGGTCTGACTGCAGTGCGGTCAGGAGGGGGCCTAGTAGGTGGGCACAGCCTCAGCGCCCAGTGTGCCGGCCCTGGAGAGACAGCTATCTTCTCCACCTGCCTGGGAGCCTCCGGGGAGTAAAGATTTGGTCTTTTACCGCCTCACCCCCGGTGCTTAGCGTATAGTAGGTGCCTATTAAATGTTGGTGGACGGACCAAAGCCGAGTAATAGATCTAATTTTACTGAGCGCCTGCTGTATACAAGCACTAAGCACCTTACGTTTCATGAAGGTAGAGTTGTTCCCATTTCACAGAGGGGAAAACTGAGACTTGGACCGTTTGTAATATGGCCGGCTAAGAGAGAGAGCCGGGATTGAATCCCAGATCTCACTCCGGTGAGTGAATGGGCACGGGATGCAGATGACGGACACACTGAAATCTGAGAGGGGAGCACTGAGGCTGGGCTGGAGAAAGCCTGGCTGACCTTGGTAGGCTTGGGAGGGAACCTCACGGGGGAAGAGCCGCAGCGACAAAGAAGGGCAGCAAATGCAGGTGGATGGGGCACCACCTGGCCCCTTCTCTGCCACTTTACTTACCCAGAAACCCACCAGAACGTGGCCTTGGAGGGGAAGGGGGCCCCAGCCTCTGGACATGGATTCTGTAAAGACAAAGGAGGGGGGAGAGGGAGGACTTGGTCTCACCTTCCGCGGCCAGCATGTGGCAGGAGGACAGGATGAACGGACCGTGAGCTTAGTACTGAAAATGCACACTGAGGTGCCCTGCCTACTCGTCTGCTTGTCGGAGGTGAACACTAATGGGCTTGGCGCTTCCTAGCAGGCAAGGCATAAAGGGATTGGGCCACCGGACTGACAGCATCCACAAGGTAAGAACCAGCCGTTTCCCAGGACAACTATCATTATTACCGAGACCAAGCAGTTCCCAAAGCGAGGACCACACGTGACATATACAACAGCATCCTCAACAACGTCCCTCAGTGAACGTGGCGAGGATGTGGAGAGGGATATGTCCTGAGATTTTGCCAGCTGTTCCAGGAAGACTGCGCGGATCTCTGCTCTTCACCAGCAGGGCACGCGCGTGCCCATTTCACGACATCTTTGCCATCACAGCTTGTTAACAATTTTTAATCTTTTTCTGCCATTCTCATAGGAAAAAAGTCCTATTATAGTTTTAACTTGATTATTCAAGCAGTTAAGCATCTTTTTAGATGGCTCAGATCAGCTGTCTCTTCCTGATTTCACAGCCTGGTCAGTGTTACCTGCTGTAAACTCTCATGGACCATGAACTTCTGCAGAGCACTTACCCTGCTTGCAATTTTCCACGTGTTTCTGTAATTATGTGATTAACGTCTGGTTCCCTGACTCGGCTGTTAGCTGCATGAGGACAGGGACTACATCTGCTGGTTCCCCGTAGGTCCTCAGCACCTAGCTGGGCATAGAGCAGGAGTTGGGGGCCCCCTGGGCCCAATCCGGCCCACTGCTTGTCTCTGCAAATAAACTTTTACAGGAACACAGCCGTGTTCCTTTGTTGACACATTGTCTTCGGCTGCTTTTGTGTTACAGCAGCCGAGCTGAGTAGCTGCCACAGAGACCATATGGCCCGCAAAGCCTGAAATATTTTCTATCTTGCTCTGGGCAGAAAAAGTTGGCCGACCCATGGCACAGAGTAGACGTGCAACATGCTTTTTGCCGAGTGATGGAACGAATGAAGAATGAAAGGCCTGTGCTCTGGTTCCACTCCCATCGGACACACGGGGAGACTGTGACCCGGACGGAACAGCGACAAGGGAGGCACTGGGCTGGAGACGTGGTGACTTACAGACTGCTGGGGGTCTTTAGGGAAGAAGGGGGGTTGATCAGCCAGGCAGGACAGCATGAACTGTGCCACCACCAGAGACAAGCACAGGTAGGTTGACAGGTGGCGGAAGGGGTCACTCTGGAAGTCCTGGGAAGAGAAACAGAAGTCCCACTGAGTCTGGCAGGCAGATGTCGGCCACCTGAGGCCTGTGAGGAGCCATCAGAGGGGAAGAGGCTGAGGTTGAGCAGGGTTTCTGGTGCTGGGGGCAGTGCCCAGGCAGGGGCCGGAGCCACAGGGTTTGAAAGGCAGAGCCCCTGGCATTCCTGGCCATCCCCATTTACAACAGCTGACATCCATACCTTCTGTCCGTACAAAAGGCGGGCCAGGGGTTTGCCCTTAGCCCAGTGACAACTGGCCACAGCCGCTGGGGCATGAATTGAGGGGACACTTTGCCTTTCTCCTTGTGCCATGAAGGAAGTCCTTGCTCCATTCCAGCCCCCGCCCCAACCTCCCATCCCGCTCCCCTGTGGCCAGTGTTCTCTGGCTTAAGAAGGGACTGGTTTTATTGAGCATTTGCTCGGCCTTGGGCACGTGCAGGAGTCTTTACACTCACTGTCTCATCAAGTGCCTCCCCACACTGACCCCAGCTGGGGTTTTACTTGCTCTGTTTTACTCCTGGGGACACAAGGCTCAGAGAAGTGACAGCACCTTGCTCAAGGGCACACAGATGATCTGACCCCACTTGTGAGCTTTGGCCGCCATGCTAGGATTGCTTTCGCATCCACTGCCCCTTCTGGTCAGAGCACCCTAATCCCTTCCCCATGCTTAGGAATGTGGTTTATGCAGAACTGACTCCATTCCTGGGGGGGGCGGGATGTGATCGAGGCCTGACCAATGACTACGTTTTAGTCCCCTGGCTACTGAGATTGGGTTAGGGATGGACAAAGGACCCACACTGGGCCAATGAGAGCTGGAACCACTGGGAGATCTACTGGGTTTGCTATGTTGGTGGAGCACAGGTCTGGAGCGATTGGTGGCTCTTCTTGCCATCCCACTGGAGAAGGAAGCTAACACGGCAGAGCCAAGAGACAGAGAGAAATGGAGACCTGGTGGTGGTATCTGAATGCCTGGACCAGCTATGCCCGGGAGATTCCGCGTCCGTGAGCTAATAAATTCCCTCCGACTTTTTTTTCCCTTAAGCTAGTGTGAGTTGAGTTTTTGTGGCTTAAAACCAGAGCCCTAGTTTCAAATCACAATTCCCCTACAGGATTTGTATACTCTTCTGTTTTTGTTTTTTTTTGCAGATAATAGACAATTTGATATTCCAACTACACTATGGCCCATCTTCCCCATCCCGCCATTTTTACTACCGTTTCTATCGGAAAGTTTGTTCTGAATTTGAGTGAGATGGACTTGGGCTCTGCACTCCCGAGCTGTGTGACCTCGAGGAAGTTATTCACTTCTCTTAGCCTGAGTTTCCTCATCTTTAAAATGGGGTTGTTAGAATCTATCACAGAGCATTCCTGTGAGAATCCAATGAAGACATGACGTCAAGGGCTTGCTGTGGGGCCTGGCCCAGGATTGGAGCTGCAGAGCATCTGTGGCTTCAATTTATTACTTCCATGCCGTGTCCCAAGTAGCTGATTGATAAGTCAACTGTGGGAACCCAGCCTTTCATCAATCAGTGGACGGCCTGTGGAATTTTCCCATTAGTTACAAAGGCTTCTTTGTAAAAATCTGCCCCGAAGGACAGAACGGTGTTTCTCTGCCTCTCCTTTTAGGAGCAGGATGGAGTAACCATTTGGCTCAAGAAATGGTGATCTACAGTCCACGGAGGCCAGGGATGCTGTTCAATATCCTTCAATGCACAGGACAGCTCTCCCCACCCGAAAGAGAATTATGTTGAGTGCTGAGGGTGAGAAATCTTGGGCTAGGCTGTCTATTTTTCTCTTTGCAGATAAAACGATCCATCAGGCCCCCTAACACGGAAATGCTGCTTCCCACCTTGGGAAACAGAAATATGGGTGGGTGTGCAAAATGAGTGTGTAAATACAGATGCACGGGGAGCATGGGTGAGGATGAGAGTAGGTGCAAATGAGGGGAAATGTGCATGCACACAGAATAAGAGTGTAGGTAAGCGCCCTTGCTTGTTAAATCTCCCACCTGCCAATGTGGAATGGTCTGTTTCTTTCCCACCAGGAGTCCATAGTTCACTGACAGAACTTCCAGCCCACACGCAATTTACCAACGGGTCAGGGGTCTTTCCTTGCCCTCTGTATGGGGCCAGTTTCAGATTTCACCCAGGGAACTCCGAGGCTGTGAACCCACAGTGCGTCCGCGCCCAGGCAGTGTGTGGGAGGGCTGTGTGAGCACACGTGCAGCGTGGGAGTGTGGGATATTTGTGCCGGAGTCGTGTGGGAGCCGGAGGACATAGCCACAACTGGGTGGCAGCAAGTGTGAGTGGACGTGTGCAGGTGTGTGTGTGTGTGACGTTCTGGGGTCTGTGGTTGTGTGACGCATGAATAGGGGCATACAAGTGTGTGTCTGGTGTGCAAGTAAAGTGTGTGTTGTGAGTGTGTAAGACAAGGGGAATTTGTATCAATAAAAAATGTCTGGGATGATGGGTATTTCTACGTGAGGGAGCGCATGTGTGCGTTGCTCAAGTTTAAGCGACTGAGGTGTGTGTCTCTGTGTAGAGAATAAATCGTGTGGACGGGGAGGAGGAAGATGGGACGCACGGCTTGTAAGTGCCCTAGTGGTTTCCCCAGGAGGCCCAGGCCCCACTTACCCGCTGCGAGGCCTGCTGGGTGGCACTGGTAGCTGGCAAGAGAAGACAGAGCAGCCAGTACCCAAACAGCACCCCAGATGCCTGGACCCCCTTCTTCCTCTCCGTGTGGATCAGGAACACGGCGAGGCTCTGGACAAGAGAGTCAGGACGGGTCCCTTAAGGTGGGGGGCAGGGGAGGGGAGGAATGGGGAGGGAGGGATCCCCGCCCTGCCCCACCCTCCACCAGGGCAGGAAAAGCGGCAGCCAGGAGCAAGCCAGCGACCCTGGGGTCGTCATTACCATCGTGGTGAGCCACACGGTGGGGTGAATGAGGAATTCCGGGGCCTGGGGCGTTCCCCGCTGGATTCTCCAGAGAGCGACAGACACACTGGAGGTGCAGAGGATTATGAGGGCGAACCCGAGCACCTGGGGAAACAGGCTTAGATGAGGCTGGTGGGTGACAACAAAAGGTGGTGGCAAACTGGACCGTGACCCTGCGTCCAACTGGACGGTGGCTCTGGATGGGGCACTGTAACATACCAGCGTCGTCATTTAACAGTGCCAACGTGAAAGATGCAGAAGAAAAAGCGGTAAGGGCTGTTGCAGATCGATCTTGACCTGTAACTGACACATAAATGATGTACCACGAGGGCCCCAGCCCACCAGTGTTTTCCATGATGCGGGTCTTGCTCCAACAGCACAGGAGAGATGCTTTAGGTATGAAGGAACAGCAGGAAACGAAATTTACTCACTGGGTGAAAACGTTATACTCGCTTCAAGTCTCTTTCAATCCCTACTATTAAATCAAAGAGAAACTCTCAGTTGGGACTGGCACATCTCTAGGCTTTCTCTAAGATGCGTTGGTCTCTCTTTTGAACAAGAGAAAGCAATAACGTGAGAGAGCGTGTACATGCGGAGAGGAGGCCAGACCTGGGCACACTGCATAAACTATTGAAAGTATCTCAGATAGTCTACAGCAGGGGTTGGCAGATCCCCACCCGAAGGGTGAGTTTGGCCAGCTGCCTGGTTTTGTACAGCCTGTGAGCTAAGAATGGTTTTGACATATTTCAACTGTTGAACAAAATTAAAAAAATGTATAATATGTCATGACAGGTGAAAATGACATGAAATTCAAATTTCAGTGACTATGAGTAAAGTTATATTGAAACACAGTCACACCTATTTGTTTACTGTTATCTGTGTCTGCTTTCCTGTTGCAATGGCAGAACTGAGTAGTTGGGACAGAGACCACAGGACCCTCAAAACCTCAAAGATGTACTATCTGGCCCTTTAAGAAAGAGCACGCCAACCTCTGGATAGAGGGTTGGCAACAGAACAAAAATTAACAAGGTGGTGTGAGATTGAATGAACCTTGAAGGACATTCTTGTAGAATTTGGAGGAGAAGGGGATGGACAAGTGGAAAGGCTCACACTTGGAATGCCCATGTTTTTCTAACACACTAAAATAAATACATAACAATTTTAAGAACTATTCTTTAGTATGACAGTGGGGAAACATCAGAATCAATGCATAACTGCTAAAATTTTAAAAGTTTCATCCTAGTGTGGTCCTAAAGTCACCTTGTGTGTCCCAGGAGTATTCACTGCCCACTTTGGGGAATGCCAGGTTATGGTGGCCATAAGCTTTCCGGGAATGCGTGAGCATCCGGGTGTGTGTGTTTACGGATGCACGGATTTTCATAATTACGAAATCTCTTCGGGGACCTTGCTCCACTGTGTTCACCTCTGTAGCCTCTGGAGTACTGCTCTGTTTGCTTAATGGTTTCCCTTCTTGTCCCCAACCTATGTGCTCCTTGATAGGAGGACTGTCCACTTTGGGGTCTCTGCTGGGTTCCAGCCTGCTCCCCGCCCCCAACTGTTGTCTGGTTACAAGCTCCCAGAGGCGGTGGCTACCATTTTGGCCTTGAAGAGCGGGGACATCCGGAGGTAGCCCTTGCCATGGCGGTGGATGTAGAGGAGGTAGATGGGGCCAAGGACCCAGAGGTACAGGGGGGGCACCCAGACCCCTGTCGTTTTCAGGAAGCACAGGTTCAGTAGGTGGGCAGCGGTGGGCTCGGGCTCCGTCTGATTCCAGACCTGAGGGGACACCAGGGTGATCCTTAGGATGGTACAATGCAGGGGTCCCAAAGTCATCTGCTTGGGGAGCCAGGCAACTTTGTGGACCCCTAACATGTACGTGAAAATGTGCCAAGCACTCTTCGGAGTACCTTATAATTCTCAACTCCTTTAATCCTAAAATCAACCCTACGAGGTAGATGCAATTATCACAGTGATTTTGCAGATGGGGAGGCTGAGGCCCAGAGAGGTTGAGTAACTTGGCTGATGTCGCCCCACTGGAAAGTGGTGGTGCTGGGATTTGAACCAAGGCAGTTGGGTCCTGGAGTCTAGGATGAGATGAGTGCTGGGCACTGACTGTCACTTAATCCTTACAACAACTCTAGGAGGTAGGTGTTACTGTTCCCATTTCGCAGACCAGGAAACTGAGGCCCCGAGAGGGGAACAGCTCCTTCAGGCCCCTACAGATAGGAAGGGGCAGAGCTGACTTCCACAAGGCCTGTCTGACCCCAAATCTTGCTCTACTGGGGGGTCTGGATCTGTGATTCTTATCTCAGCTGCTCTGCTGCCATTTAATCCTAGGAGAAGTTCGAAGGTGAAGTTTAGAGGACATAGCCTCTTCAGTTCTCTCCCTTGGTATTATTAACAGCGCTCCCACCCCCTCCCCACTGGTCATCCCTACTCCTCCTGGCTTCACCATTCACCAGCTATGTGAACTTCAATCTCCCTGTGCCTCAGTTTCCTCGTCTGCAAAGGGAGGATAATAGGAGGATCCACTTCTAAGGGCTCTTAAATGTATTAATATCAGCAAAGTGCACAGCACGATGAGGACACAGATTAAGCCCTCAGTTAACACCAGCTATTACTATTGCCTAACCTACCTGGCCCCTGAAATCCTGGGGTTTGCGACCCTCACCCCCACCCATGAACCCCACTGCCTAGAGTGCTTTGCCGAGAGCCTGGCTGAGAGGGGCAGCCAGAGAGGCGAGGTCCTGAGGCTTTCTGCAGAGGACGGGCACAGCCCCCCGCAGCGGGAGGTCTGGAGGCCCGGGCCTGTCGCTGCCAGGTCTCCTCCCCGCCCGGGCCGGGAGTCTGGGGGTCTCTTCCCTCCGCAGTTACGGCAGCCCGAGAGATCTACCCAGCCGGGCAAAGGGGCGCAGACGAGAGGGAGACACTCACCCCCGGGCCCGCGCAGGGCTCGCCAGGAGCGGCCATCGGGCGACGTCCGTCCGTCCGTCCGTCCGTCGGTCTGTCGGCCGGTCGCTGGGCAGCCTGCCCCTCCGCCGCGCGCTCCGGGCCGGGGCAGGGGTGTGGCCCGGCAGGCCCGGCGGGGATTCGAGCTCCGATCGCCAGGCCCCGGGCAAGGTCCAGCGGCGCGGCGGGGGTGGAGCGAGAAGGGGTGAACCGAGGTGAGTGGAGGGGCGTTCAGGGGGGCCCCAGCGGGCACCCGCGGGCGGGATCCCGGAGCCCCGGCAAGTGCAGCGGCATCCCTATATAACCCTCTCCTCCCCCTGCGACAAGTGTCATCCCAAACTTCCCGAACACTCTGGACCCAACCATTCCAGGAATGTCACCTGACAGACGAACTCCACAGGTGTGCACATGCTGAGTGCCCAGACCCGGTGGGGGACCGGGGCAGACAGGCTCTAACCGCAGGCTCCTCACCCGTGGATGAACATCGTCTGCCTCCAGGGTGGTGGGAAGGTTTTAAGAATATCGCGCAGTGCCGGGCTCACACTAAATGCTCAATAAGAGTTGGCTGTTGTTCTTATTTCATTCATAGGTTCCTAAGCAGTGGTTCAAAGTGCTACTGCAGAAATATATTAATATGGAAAGATGGCTGCTAAATGCTAAGTGAAAAAAGAGATTATAATACAAAACAGGCTATGATATTTTTGCAAGAAAAAAAAAATATATGCCTAAATTGGGGAAAATGGGGAAGAAAGTCAAGTCATTTACCTTCCTCTCTTAGGTCTTCAAGCAAGGTGTGTCCCCAGCCACCAGTTCTTTTTGGAAATGACTCTATGGAACATACATGCATAGATAAAAAAGGTGGAAATGCACGAAAGCAGTGATCACAGGAATCCTAATTCTCTTTTTCCTAGTCTTTCCTTTCCTGTTTTCTTTCCTTCGGCGATGTGCGTGTATTCCTTTCAAGATAGGAATGCAGACTCAGCGTTTTCAGACAGACAAGCACAGTGCTCAGTTTGGGTGAAGAATTAAAACCCTCTGCGCTCGCCACGTCGCCCTGCTACTTCTCCAGGTCTTGTCCTCATCTTTCAGTCCTGCCTCCTGCAGAGCCTCCACAGCGGGCGTTCCCCGGCCTTGGCCTTACTTACCCCTCTGTTCTGACTTTCCCCCTGCCTGGTCTGGGGCCCAGGCTGTACGCCTTTACTTGCCTTCCTGCCTGGGTCTTCTGGAAGAGCAGGGACACAAGGAACCCACAGATTTGCCTTGAAGCTGACTGGGGCAGGTCTGCTGTTTACACTTAAATCACGTCTGTTTATTCGAGGTGGTTTTGGCAAAGGCTGATGGAAATTATGGGGCAGCTTGAACCCCCCTCACCCTGCAACCTCTCCCTCCAGTTGGCAGTGCCACAGTCCTAGGGCTTAATTTCTTTGTATATTTGAAGACGAATTTGAGGGGAATGGTGGAAATTGGAGGGGGAATGGTCAGGAAACAGGGAGAACACAGAGGAAATGATTTGGGGTGAGCCAAGAACAGAACTCTGGCACCCCAAAGCCTACTTTCCAGCTCTCTGAACAGCACATGGCTGCGAGCAGGGCCCTAGACGACTCCCTTTTCCTTGCTGGGCCTCGGTTTCCCGTTCTGAAAGATGAGAAGTTTCCATAGGCCAGCATTTCCTAATTGGTGGTGTGGGGGAAGAGGGAGAATCCCCCTCTGCCCTTTCCCTTAGGGTTCTTATGGCTGGCCAAATAATTAACAAGACAGGTTAGCAGGAGAAAATAATACCAAGTTTAATAACATATACACATGGGAGAAACCAGGGACACTG